GTCACGTGACCGAAGTCAGAAAAAGCTATTTAAGTTAAAACTCACAACATTTACTTGGTTTCACAAAGGACTCAAACGTAAGTCCTGTATTTGACCCGTCCTGCCTCTTTACGTAGACTAAACACGTCACCCGACTTCCTCCTGAGCTACTGTTGGACGGCTGCTAGAGGTTGCTGCCAATAAACGTGAATATTGGTCGTAATTTCGACCTATATTGTCATTTTCCTGGTGAGGACAGTCTCAGTTTGTGGGAAATAATTCTAATACCAAAACAATACTGTGGAATTATTCCTACTAAAATATATAACTAGTAAAACAAATATATAAGCGCAGTATTTTGTGTAGTTAATGAGCAACATAAATCGGTGCAGAAAATGACTGAATAATCTGCTGAATAACTGACCTGAGCGGAGGCTCAGTCCAGTCCTGCAGATCAACATCCAGTCAGAACCAGTTTCCCAACTGGTTTAATCGATGCTCAGAGAAGAAGCCAGTCCTGCAAACAGTCATTAATTAATTAATTAAGACCAGAGAGCGTTTCTTTATTCTCCAACTATCAGAAACTTTAAAATAACACAAACACATGACGCGAAACTAAAGCCACGTTCCACTTCAGGTTGCTCTGCATCGCCTCAACAGATCTGTTGTTTCTTCTCCACACACATGCTGAGTGCCTTTGAAGTCCGGCGGTGGGGGGGTCTGTCATCTCATGAAGTATTCATGTAGCATGTCAAGTGTGTGTGTGTGTGGTTTTCACGGCTGCTGTGTGTCGACGCGACGAAGAGGCGGGGCTGTGAAGAAAGAGAGAGAGAGAGAGAGGGAGGGAGGGAAGGTGAGCGAGGCGGACAGAGGGAGGGAGGTTGGAGCATCGCCAGTGTTTCCCGGCAACAACATCAGCGAGAGGCAGGAATCCACCGCCCTTCATTCACTCGTTCATTTCTACCTCCTGCTCCTTTATTCCTCCTCTGCTGCTGCTTCCCTTCATCTCCCCCCCCCCTCTCTCTCTCCTGGAGTTAGAGGAGGGAGGAGGAATAGGAGGAGGGAGGGGTGGAGAGGAAAGGCATTGCGATACTGCAGGAACAGACTGAGGAGCTACAGGAGAGAAGAGAGGGAGAGGAGGAGGAAGGAGGAGGAGGAAGGTACAATAAAAGAAATGAAGGTGAAGCAGAGGAGATAAAGGTAAAGGACAGAGATGGAAAGAGGAAGAGGTGGAAGAAAAAGAAGTAGGTGAAAGAGGAAAAGAGGTCAAATGAGAGAAATATCAAGGAGGAAAGTGAAGGATAACGATGGAAAGAAGAGGTGAGCGGAAGAAGGTCTGAATTTCAGCTTCACAGGAGGAGATCTGGTGCAACGTTTGGCTCAAGGATGCGGTCGGACGGAGGGATGAAGCTGTTGGATTTTTCTGGCTGGACAAACAGAAGTGAACGTCCACTCCTCTCTGCAGGACTTCACCACTCCGTTTTCTTTGGATCATGTTTCAACACCGCTTTTTCCCTGAAAACTTCCAGCCGACCCTGATCCCCAGGACTTCCTGTGAGAGACGAAAGACGAGGACACTGGTGGACAGACGGAGAGAGAGTTCACCGATGTGTGAAGGGTAAAGAGATCCGGCCGACTGAAACCTGTTGGAACGTTAAGAACTGATTCCAGAGCAGTTTGGTGGGAAGGACTCTGATCACTTGACTGAGAGTCACAGAGCTGCAGGACTGAAGTGAATCATTGCACAAATAATAACAGTAGGGAGAGATGGACGGACGAACTGAGCCAAGTCTCTCAGGTATTTGGGGAAAAGAGGAAGCGGCTGGATAAACTCATTGTTTGGTTTTGATCGGCGAGACATTTGTTGTCAGAGGAGGAAGTAGATCTGATTTCAGAAGAATGTTTCTGAAGACGAAATAAATCCTTTACCGATACGGGAAGTCATTGGTTTGACGATGGTTAGAAGTTACTTGGACTAAAGGAATGCGGATCATCAAAATCCTGCCTGGAACAACTAATTCTCCTTCAGAAGTTGCTGGATTCTTACCGGACACCTTCGGTCACGTGAACACATTGTTTTAGATTTTGGATCAAACCCAATTTGAAAACTGTCCTTGGAGCCCTGCGAGGCCGTCTGGGGTCAGTGTACTGGGTAACTCGTCATCTCTGACTCGATCTGAAAACTTTAATTTTCTGAACCTGCGCCGGCTCCACGTGCCGCCATGTTTCAGTATCCAACACTTTCATCACTGCTCATTCTCAGATATGTATCAGATTTCCCTCCTTTAGACTTGTGACTTCTGTTCTTGTTGGAATAAATCTGCTTCTTTACGATGGCGAGTGAGGATGAGAAGTTTGGACCTGGTTCTTCTTCAAGGCGAAGAACTTTGAGCAGATAATGGACTGGAAGGAACTGTGAGTATCTGTTCCCCAAACAAATCCTCTCACTAAGTTACTTTGGCCCAGTTATATGATGACTATCTGTTCGTTTATCAGGTTGCTGATGTGTGAAAACACAGTGGAAGAAATAAAGTAGAGAAATCCTGGTCCAGATTTAACCATAAGTTCCTTCATGGAGCAAAGGGAGCGATAACTTTAATGTGAGGTTATAAAATAAGCTCTATCATTTAAACCTGAGTAGCACCTTGGTACTCTTGGAGAGCCCGTCCCCTTCCATCAGTCTCTGAGGTCTCTTTCTGTCTGAGTCTGTTAAATCTATTACAGCCTCATTATTGACCCTCTGAGTCTCGCCGCCTCACATGAAACAGCAGCGAGCTAAACAGAAAGGTCAGAAAGATTTCTCTCTCTCTAGCGTTGCACCTGCTAATCTGATAAACTGCCCACTAATAAATATCTGCCGGAAACTGTTAGCAAAGACGGAAAGTTCTTCTCTGCTGTTCTAAACAAAAACAAGTGAAGTCTCTGACTCCCTGTGGAGGATAAAGTGGAGAGTGAACATCACACTGGGTTGCCAGTTTGTAGTGAACCCTCCTCCTTCTGTTTGTGTTGATTCAGCTTCATCTTGGAGGACGTAGCTGCTGCTTTACTCTGACAGTGTTTCTGTTTCTTTCTCTGCCCCCGCTGACAGAAATGTGTTGGACAAACTATTACAAACGCCCCTCGCTGTGTGATGGAACAGTAAATAGCAGTCTTGGGTTGGAAACCTCTGCTTAAATCCAGGTCCATATGTACACATTTTGGTGTGGAAATGACTGGTAGCGACAAAAAGATGGTTTCAGCCGGCAGCTGAACGACTCAAGGACAATTCTCACTTTGAAACGCTGGTGGCAACACGTTCTCACTCCCAAGTGGTCATGGTCAACACCCGTTGGCGTCAGTTTGTCAGTGCTCTGGGGGAAACCCCGTAGCGTCATTTTGAACAATAAATAATATATAACTGTAACGTCAGAGTGAGGAGGTGGTTGGGGTGGACGGTGGGCCAGAAACCAGACTGGTTTTCGTTTAACTGACGTAAGTTAAGTGACGTAAAGAACATTATTTTAACCAAAGCCATGATCTTTTCCTAACCCTAACCAAATTTTAAAACATAACCAACGTTAACAAGTCCTTTTATGTAGAAAGTTTAGCTGGACCGCGGAGCCCTAAACCTCGGAGAAACTATGCTAAAGGTTACCCAGGTTGTTAAAAAGCGACGCCAGCGGTCTTGATATTTGAGTTGGGAGTGAGAGGGTGTTGAATTGATGGAGAGGAGGTCGTGTAGCAGAGGAGCTGCTAACAAGACTATTTTTCTACTCCGACACAACAAACTCCTCCCTCCAGCTCTGCCTGTCGTCTTCCTGCGACAACTCGCCTCTCACCAGATTTCAGAGCGAGACTTCAGTTTCCTGTTAAAAACAAAAGGGGGCCACCAGGAGACCCTCGTAGGGATCCTGTCCATCATGCTGTCAGACACCTGGTCTAACAACCTGAGCGTGTCGGGGGCAACAAGAAGCTCGGTTTGGACGCCATTTTGTAGAAGATGTATGTTGCAGCTGCTGACTGAAGAATCTACTGCAGGATTCAAAACTTTGAGTGGAGACAGCGCCCAGGTTTAAAATGACCCTTTAAGCTACTGAAACACTTTGCAGATAACGTTAATTAAAAGTGTTTCCTCATTGTGTTGATAAAGAATAATGAAGGTGACATCACCTTTCTCTCTGGAACCAGAGCGTCAGGTCCGACTCTGCTGCCGGTGATCTGGTCTGCAGCTGCTCCGAGTCGCGTTGAAACAGGAAGTTTCTGTTTATTACCAGTTTTATTGCTCACAGTCAGCCTCTCATTTACCAGCAGTGCTAAATAAATAGTTTTAGTTGTGTTGATAGAGACCCTGAGCCGCTCTGGTGAATCTGTGTTGGTTTGTGTCTGAAAGCTTCATGAGAATAAAGAGGAGGCAGATTTAGAGGAGCTTAAATCAACAGCTCTCATTAAGGAAGTGTAAATGTCAGCGTTTCACCAACACACACCTACACACACAGAACCCCCCCGTGTCTTCCCACAGGCTGAACTCTGCCGTCCTTCATGGCAGCTGTAATTACACGCTCTGTTCTCTGATTGGACTCAGTGAGTAGGATGGAGGGATGAAGAGGAGGAGGAGTGCAGGGAGACTCTTCTTCTTCTTTAATGATGTCAGAACTGAGTCTAACCCTCCTCAAACCCCGGTTCCGGTTCTGGTTCTGGTTCCCAATGACTCATGGTTCAGATGTTAAATCCTCAGTAGTACAGATTATAAGAAATATCTGCTTCTGATAAAAAGTCAAAGGTTCAAGAAACCTGTAGACGTAAAACCTCGAGGTAAACGTTAACTACGATTCCCAAGGTGCATTTCACCAACAAACATCCAATCACTGGGCCTCTGTAACGTGCACCACACGCTGATGACACGCTGATGACACGAGCATTTCAAACTGAGACATGTGGTGACAAACTGAAATATGTTCTGCAGGGAGAGGCGACGTGTTCGTTCTCTGACTCGATGCTTTCTAACAGAACCGTGTTCAGTCTGAATCTCTTTGTCTCCTCAGGGCGGCTCAGAAGCTCAGTCTGTCCCGCAGGAAGAAGTCCCAGCCTGGCCCCGCTTCCTCGCCCGGTGAGGCCCCGGGACCCCTGCTGTACACCGGGGGCTTCAGCGGGGCCCTGCAGCTCTCCCCGCCCGCCGTCCCGCCATGCCTCCTCCGGGCCGGGTCAAAGGTGAAGGACACTCCTGGGATGGGGAAGGTAAGACGACATGTTGTTACCCAGAATGCCCTGCAGCAGAGTCCTGGTCAGCTGGTTCTCAGGCTGCTGGAAGCAAACAAGGCTCTTCTTTAGTTTTTTTGCTGGTCCCTGATCTTAATCCGGATCTGGGTCATTTCATCCCCCAGTTATAATTACAGCCTCAGTGACTTCCTGTTTCTCCTGTTGTCAAACTGTCCCCAGTAACAGCAGCTGGATCAGCTGTTAGCATGGACGTCCAGACAGCATCACTGGATCACTGTGAGACTGAGGTGGTCCTGCAGCACAGGTGCATTCTGGGAGCGCAGTGCTCTGCTGGGGTAGTAAGGTACTATGAGCTCTGATAAGGTGGAGCCTGACCATGAAGAGCTTTGTAGGTGAGAAGAAGGATTTTAGTCCTGCTGTCTCCTGGTCTTCCCTCCAGCGCCACCTTCAGCTGCTCAGACTGCAGGAGCAGATGAATGGATGCGGTCCAGCAGGACTCGTGTCTGCTGACATTATGTAATGTGTTTGCAGACATGCTCAGCTGTGTTTGGACTGGCGCTCAGCTGCTGGCTGCAGATCAGACGCTCGGCTGTCGGAGTTGATCGTGTTGCCAGATCGGCTGCTGTCTGCTGAGGGAAGCGATTATCCTGCAGTGGATTTTATTTTATCAGACCTGACATGCAGGACTCGGAGCAGGTCTCAACCACAAGACCTGGATCCCGACAGCTCGTTAATTAACGTCAGGCTCCATATGTTCTTTATGGCTGCGTGTTCCAAGAGGTTTCTCCCAAACCGTCTCTTTGCTTTCTGCTACTGCAAACACATAAATGAAACAACCTGTGGATGTCTTGATGAAATCTGGATGAAGTCTAAATGTTTGTGAGGGATGAAGCCTTCAGTGAGTCGGCCAGGTTCTCTGCTGTGTCTTCAGAGCCTGCTTTCTGTCAGTCTCTCTTCCGTCACCTCGCAGCTCTTTAAGATGAAACGTTCTGCAGCTGCTAATAACTGGAGCTTTAAAGTCTCCATGAAAGGAGCTGGAGTTCAGCCTGATTCTCCTTCAGATTATTCGGACGTCTGGGCCTCAGCAGCGGCACAAACGTTTAAGAAGTTAAAGAGCATTTTAATGAGACCGGACGAGTTCTGCTGCAGCTCAGACCTCCTGAATACTGATGCTCTGAGATCAGATCGCCTGCATCGGAGCTGCTGGTCGTCCTGCAGGTCCGCAGAGCAAACACCTTCAGACAGATAACAGACGTACCGAAGCCGAGATGGGCTGACGGGGGGAAGGAATGTGATTTTGTTTCTGTTGCAGCTGAGAGTTAATTTAGGTTTAAGAAAAGATAAAGTCATGTCACTGATGTAACTTAAGCACGTTGCAGAAGTTCACGGACGCTCGTTCCTTAAAAGAATCCATTTCCTTTGGGTTCTCGCAGCGACCGGAGGGCTCTCCTCTGTTTTTATTGGAGCTGGTTGGTCGTAAAGTGTTCGTGGTTGCGGGCTCATAAACAGTTTGATGGACTGAACTGAGAGCAGCTCAGCAGCCTGTAATGCCGTCACAGAGCCAATCAGACGGCTCACAGAGCAGCTGCAGAGATTCACTTTACGTCTTTAAACAGAACCGTCTTTCTTTCTATTCGTGTTCCTCGTTCTTTCTTCCTGCATTTCACCCATTTCATTATTTTTCTTTCTTCCATCTTTCTGTCTGAGTTTCATATTTTTTTGGATGCTTCATTTCTTTCTCCTTTTTTTCTCTTTCTTTTGTTTTTAATATTGTTTGTTGTAGTTTTTGATCTTTCCCTCCTTTTTCTGAGCTCCTTTCCTTCTTCTCACCTTCCTTTTTATTTCTAAATGTGTTTCCTTCTCTCTCTTTCTTTCTTCACAATAGGCAGTTTCCTCTTTGTACCCACAGTCAGAATCATTTCCATCTGCCTGAAGAAACCGAGAACAGAACAGATTTTCAGGTGAGGTGAAAAGGTGAAGAAGAAGAGCTGGATGAACTCTGATCGCCCTCCTTAACATTCAGAGCTGTTGAGGTTAATAAACTAAAATCAGTCTTTTCACTGTGGGCTGATGAAGCTCTCGCTCTGATTGGACGCTGCAGGAGGGCGAACAGAGCGTTCATGTGGAGCTTCTGCCTGAAGGTGATGAAAGGGACCAACATCTGGAGTTAAATGTTTTTCTTTAACCCTGACTCTCAGGGCTACAGTGAGACACAAGATATGACAGGATGAGTTCAGCTATAATTTAATTATTAATTATTATAAAACACTTTTTTAATACTCAAACTAAAGTGGAATGAAGCAGGTCACTTAAACAAATTAAACAGATTTTTCTTTCTGTCTTCCGCTTGATCAGGAGACTTTTCCCTCAAAGTGAGAAAATGTCTCGTGAGGTAACATGATGAATCACGTCTGGATAAACCTGTTTAACGATCAGCGGTATGAGGTTTATTAAAGGACTTCCTGCTGTCACAGACTGGAGGTCAGCTGATTATTCACTCCGCCGGCTCGCAGCGACGCCTCCTTTAAAAACTGCTGCGTCTCAGATTGTTATTGGCTTTAAACTTGACCTCCGAGCCGCCGCCGAGCGCCGACTCAGCAGCTCTGTGACGGACCAATAAAAAGCCCGCAGAGAGCCCGAGCTGTCACACAACACAACACAGCACAACCCCCCCAGGCTGCTCTGAGCGCAGACCAGCAGCTGCTGCAGGTCGGGAGAATCCTTCACTTTCACCTTTACTTACAAAACTAAGAATAAAAGTTGTTTATCAGTCTTCGGACTCATGTGACCTTAAAAGAGAAGTCAGGAGGCCTCTGGCGCTGGTTTAGAGTGTGAACGTTATTACTTCTGTTGCGTCCTTCTTGATGAATGAGTTCCCTGATCAGAGCGTGGCCCCCCTCCCTCCTCTCTGATGTGGACTTCCTGTCTGTCTCCAGGTCAGAGTGATGGTCCGGATCTGTTCGGTCCACAGCAGCGAGTCCTCAGAGTCCATGTCCCTCCTCAAAGTGGACGGCAGGAAGAAGCAGCTGACTCTCTGCGAGGCGTCAGCCGGCGGACGAGGCTCCGCCTCCGCTCCAAAGACCTTCCTGTTCGACGCCGTCTTCTCCCAGGATGCTTCGCAGGTGAGACGGGACCAGGTCTGCCGTTGAAACCTCAGAGCGACACATCCTGTTAAACCGAATATAGAAAGTGAGTCTGAGCTCGCTCTGCAGCAGGCAGCTCAGAGAGCGGCAGCCTGGATATGGATCAGAGTGTTATCTGTCGGTGCAGGAGGATCTGGGATGTGATGCAGACCTCCTCAGCAGACGGGTGGATTATAAAAACACAGAGAGTGAGTCCAGCTGAGCTCAGGCTGCAGCTGAGACATGATGATGTCACTCTGACAGCGTAGGTTTCACCTTCTGACAGCAGGCTGCTCTCCTAAACTGCCCCATCGTGTTAACGTAGAATATTAGATCGTAACGTAGCACGTGTGACGCTACCGTCCTTTACTGTGTAACCGTCACCGGCCCGTTCTCTCTCCCAACTCGTCACATATGAACGCTTGGTCAACACTCAGATTTCTAAATGAGCCCTCGCGTTCTTCTTCATCTCATTTTATTGGCGGCTGTACGTATGTGGCTACAAACTGCCACCTGCTTTAACATGTCAAACTTTTTACAGGGCAATATTTAAACGGGAGGATGGCGGGAAAGAAGGGTTAAATATGGGAAAAACAGGTGGGTTGAAAGGAATGTGTTGGCGTCGCTTTTTAACGCCCTGGTTACCCAGTGGCTCAGTCAAGTTAGCAAGAATGAATATGCAACGTCCGGTTAGACTTTCAAAATAAAACTAGTGGTTAACATTTTGAAACATCGCAATTTGGTCAGATTTAAGATAAGATACGATTTAAATGTATTAAATTAGTAGAAGTAAAAGAACAGATGCAGTATTGTAGAAGTATTTACACACTATTTACACTATGCAATCAGTGTTAATTATCAATAATAATTAGGCACCAGAACCACTTGGTTCAGGGTTTACGAAAACTGGTTTGGCTTAAAAAGACAATGTGACTTACGTGAGTTAAGTAACGTAACTTACACCAGTCTCCTGGGTGAGAGTCTGATTCACTCGTCCACCCCAAACATCCTTACACACCTTTCTGTTATCCAAACTCGAGCTACGTTGAACTTTGACACTGACGGCAGTTTGTTCCAAAAAGACGTTAAGGGGTTTTGACCGAGCGTCCATACGTGACGACGTGGCGGAGAGAACGGGTTGATGCAGTATGGATCCGATCTATGCTGGTTGTTGACTGTGCTCTAACATGATTGGTCGATACTGACTGAGTCTTGGTCCTGATAGGCTGAGGTGTGTTCAGGGACGGTGGCTGAGGTCATCCAGTCGGTGGTGAACGGAGCCGACGGCTGCATCTTCTGCTTCGGACACGCCGACCTGGGTAACACACACACACACACACACACACACACACACACACACATCTTTATGGCCGTCACTTCATTGTTGCGTTGGCTCCGCCCTCCCCAGGTAAGACGTACACCATGATTGGTCGGGACTGCTCCACCCAGAGCCTGGGCGTGGCCCCGACAGCCATCTCCTGGCTCTTTAAAGTGATGGAGGAGCGGAGGCAGAAGTCTGCAGCCCGCCTCTCCGTCAGAGTGTCGGCTGTGGAGATCTCCGGCCGGGAGGAGACGCTCACCGACCTCCTGGCTGAACTGTCCTCCTCCTCAGCAGGGGGCCCCCAGGAGACCCCGGGCCCCGCTGTGTCACTGCGACAAGACCCCCTCTGTGGATCCCAGGTAGAGAACAAACTCCTCCTTCATCCACTTCCTCTTCAGTCGTCTCTCTTTCGCCTCCTCGCCGTGTTTCTTCCCTTCGCCTCTCCAGCAGTGACCAGACTTTCAGAATACTCCTCTACTCTCTACTAACGATTTTAATTCTTGGATTAACGATATACATTTCTACTTTTCCTTTGTAGGCACTGGACTGCCGTTAGTTCAGAGACTGGAACGCCAGCTCCAGATCGTGATGTTTATTTGCTGGATTGTTTTCAGGCCTTGGTTCTGCAGATGTCTCTCAGGACAGGCGACACCATCAGGTCACCTTGGCGAGTTTCCTCTCTCTCAATCCTCTTTATCTCCTCCGTCCTTTCACTACCTCCTCCCTTCCTCTCCTCCTCACCTCCTCTTCACCCCAGAGACTCCATCTCTGTCCACAGCTGTCCAATCAGTCCTGACCTTCTTCCTTTTATTCTCATTCGTTCTGTTTTATCTCCCCTGGGCTCGCTCTGTCTGACGCCTTTTATCTCCTCACTTTCATTTTCTTTCCTTCATTCAGACTTCTTTTTCTCTCTGTCAAACCTCGTTCTGTCTCACTTCAGCTCTTATCTCTCTCTGTTTTATCTCTGACGTTGTTCTTTCTGGATGAGACATCTTCTTAACCTCGAAAAGACGTGTTTTAGCAGAGCTCACGTGTCCGTTGTACTTCCTGTTTACACCCTCGCCGTCACTCACATGTCGTCTCTGGGCATCAGAGTCTCTCCCTCCCTTTATTATCTTCCTTTTCCTCCCATGTCTCTCTCCATCAGCTGCAGAACCAGACGGAGCTGCGGGCATCCAATGCCGAGCGGGCAGCGTTTTTCCTGGACGCCGCCTTGGCAGCGAGGAGGAGCCACCGAACGCCGAGCGACCAGGAGGCCCGGAGGAACTCGCACTTCCTGTTCACCCTGCACCTCTATCAGGAGAGGCCGGACAAGAGCAACAAGGCAGCAAGTCAGTGTGTGTTTGTCTGTCAGGAGATATTTCAGGAAAAGTTCCATTAATTCTGTTCAGGGTCGTGACAGACGAACAAAAGACAAACAGCTGTGTTAGAAAACAGGTGGGTGTCTGATAGAAAGTCCAAGCTACAAGACAAGAAACCTGTGGCCGTAAAAACTGAAGGGAGACGTCAACTACGACTCCCAAGATGCATTTCTCTAACAAACATCCAATTTCACAGCTGTACATGTTCCTTCATCACCATGAAGACTGTAGTTTATCCCACATTCACCGTCCTGCGGCCCCAAACACTCCCTACAGCACCACATGTGGATTCATCCGCCGCTGAAAGTAGTCCAACAGGTTTGTCTGATAGAAACTACAAATTACTGAGCCTTTTTAAACCAACGGGCTTATAGCTGAGAGCCACAGACAGGAAGTCAAACAGTCTTCAGAGAATGACCAACACATTGTTGGTTTGGCCCTGATTTATTGACAATAAGAAAAATATAACATAACAGCAGACCTATCCTTCAGCTTTGGTTTTGTTCCAAGTGGTGGGGTAGAGTGAGGGTTTCAATCTTGTATGAACCTTCTAAAAGCTGCCCTTTGTTTTCTTATTTCCAACAAAGCAGCGGTGAACACCTGCACAGACGTGTCGACATCAGGTCAACAACTTGATGAAGAACCAGCAGGTTCTAGACGGCGAGCCCTCAGGCAGGAGTACGACCTGCCGTTAGTGATTGTGCAGCTCTCCTTTTCCTTCTGCTGTTCATTTCCAAACACAGAGCTGCTAATTAGAGTCATTTAGAGCTGCCGGTATGCTCGACAAGAATTTTAACAAGCAGAGGGGCTGCACTAACGCCACCTCCGCCCACGTCTACCTGTCACAGCAGAGAGATTTTCACAGTTATTAGTGTTTCCCTGCTTCCGTCTACAGCTGGAATAAATCTGCATGGCTAATGAGGCCCAGAGCCCCTGTGTCCTGCAGTGGTTATAGACCAGCAGATAGGAAACGCTCTCAGCACTTTCTAAATCTTGCTGATGCAGGCGAGTGATGGTTCACACCATCATTCCTCTGACTTAATGACCATTTAAATGAGCAGAGACAGAGAAGTCAGACTGAGACTGACCTATCAGATCTGAGCTGATCACAGACAACCTGAACTTTAAACATGTTCATGGTCCATGTGTGCATAAACATATATAATGTTATGGAGTCATGAATCTGATTACTCAGCACTCGACTTGACAAAATCCAATAAGACTTAAATGACTTGTAACTTCACTTGGACATGAAATGACTTGATATTTTCCAAAAAGCCCAAAGATTCGTAATAGAAATTCTGCAGCAAATCAACTTTTCAATTACTTGACAACAGACAAAGCTTGAACCAACTCAAATGCTTTTTAGTGCTGAATTGGTGCTTTTCTGTCTTATATCTGGATTCAATTAGTGGACTTTTCTGCCTTGACTTGGAAATCGACTTGGGACCTGTTGGTCTTGACTTGGGACTTGTTTTGAGACTTTAGTCTCTTGACATGGGACTTGTTTTGGGACTTCAGTCTCTTGACATGGGACTTGTTTTAGGACTTCAGTCTCTTGACATGGGACTCGTTTTAGGACTTCAGTTTCTTGTCATGGGACTCGTTTTAGGACTTCAGTTTCTTGTCATGGGACTCGTTTTGAGACTTCAGTCTCTTGACATGGGACTTGTTTTAGGACTTCAGTCTCTTGACATGGGACTCGTTTTGAGACTTCAGTCTCTTGACATGGGACTCGTTTTGGGACTTCAGTCTCTTGACATGGGACTCGTTTTGAGACTTCAGTCTCTTGACATGGGACTTGTTTTAGGACTTCAGTCTCTTGACATGGGACTCGTTTTAGGACTTCAGTCTCTTGACATGGGACTTGTTTTGAGACTTTAGTCTCTTGACATGGGACTTGTTTTGGGACTTCAGTCTCTTGACATGGGACTTGTTTTAGGACTTCAGTTTCTTGACATGGGACTTGTTTTAGGACTTCAGTCTCTTGACATGGGACTTGTTTTAGGACTTCAGTCTCTTGACATGGGACTTGTTTTAGGACTTCAGTTTCTTGACATGGGACTTGTTTAGAGACTTTAGTCTCTTGACATGGGACTTGTTTAGAGACTTTAGTCTCTTGACATGGGACTTGTTTTAGGACTTCAGTTTCTTGTCATGGGACTCGTTTTGAGACTTTAGTCTCTTGACATGGGACTTGTTTTGGGACTTCAGTCTCTTGACATGGGACTTGTGAATCAATGACTTGTCCCACCTCTGCTGGGTTGCAAGGAACTCCTCCGGGCTGAACTGATCTTATTCCTGAAGACGTGTTGTTTGAGATTGTGCAGTGGTTCTGGTCTCTGCTGCCTCACTCTGTGGTCCTGTGGAGGCTTAGACATTATCTGCTCTGATTATTTGTTATATTATTAGTTCTTTGCTCCTGCAGTGACCCGGTTTGCTCACAGAAATCAGTTAATCCGCTGAGCAGAATAACTGGATCACGTTTTTAGCGTGCAGTCTCCACTCCAGTGCCCATACCGCCCAGGGTCCATAGAAATATTTTCATATTTAAACAAGGCATGAGTTTATAGCAGCAGCAACGAATCCTTTACTGTAGGATTATACTTTCTTGATGTCATAAAGAGCAGAGGATTCATAGAGACCTCAGCTAATGTTGGGTATTTACTACTTGACAAATAACTTTAAACAGCCAATCAATTATTAAAATAACCATTGATTATGTTTCTGTCTATAAACAAATCAATGAAACAACCATTTAACCAGCCAATCGTTTCAGCACTAATGAGCAGTTCAACAGGCTGGATACTAACATCCCCTCTCTGCCTCAGTGTCCGGGCGGAGTCGTCTCCACCTCCTGGATTTGGGAAGCTGTGAGACGGACATCAGCAGGACCCGAGAGGGAGGCGGAGGTCAGTGCCTGTCTCTGTCTGCGCTGGGAAACGTCATCCTCGCCCTCGCCAATGGGGCCAAGCACGTTCCGTACAGGTACGAGCTCCCACTCTGAGCCCAGCAAGGGTCAAAGGTCACAGTGAGGGGCACGGCGAATGCACCAGGATGACAGGATTTATGGTATTTTTAATGAGTTTTTAGTGTGTCTTTAATGGTTGATTAGACTGATGATCGATCACTTTGTAATGCTGATTGTCATCTATATTCAGTGCTCTGGCGGATTGTTTTGTGAAGCTCTGTCTTTAATTTCAGGCTTTTACTTTGGCCTCACTTTGGTTCTTTTGAGTTTTAAGATGTTGACTTGTTTTGGGATGTCTCATTTGTTTAATTACCATCAGATTTTCTTCTCATTTACGTAGATTTTTACACAGTAAAAGCGTAAGAAAGACGAGATTGGGTTTTGCATCTTCTTCAGCTGTTGACAAAATGTTTATGTCCTGTTGTCAGTGAATCTTCAGGGGTGTTCAGGTAGAAAGTAAAGAGAAATTTCACCACTGGTTCTTCACGCTAATTTGTCCACTGGACTGTTTGTCTTTATTCACCCCAAACAGCCAAAGTACTGAAGGGCCCTCAGCAGAAACTCCAGTTCTTTCTGTTGTTTCCCTCCAGTCGCTCATCTTTTTATCTCGTCTCTGTACATTTATGAAGCTGATTCATGAAGACCTGGAATACACACAAACATTTTCAACTCACAGTGACAAAGTTTTGCATCAGTTCACCGTCATGAATCTGCATCCAAGGTGTTGTGGTTAACTAAAGAAGCTGAGGTTGCAGCATGTAGACTCAGTTTGCGACCCTTTTAGCTTTATTCTAGGTCTTTTCAAAGACAGGATTTCGTTTCACTCAATTTCTGACTACAGAGCACATGGGACGTGTAGTTCAAAGTGGGCTTCATTAATGTGAAATGAGAGATCATTCCTATTCCTTTTTGAGCCCAACTGTTGCGTGGGGTAATGAAAGGTTTCTTGGATCCTGTGGGGTTTCTCAGGCCTGTGGTGCTTTTTTTCTGGTTAACGAGGGGTTTCTTGATGTATTATTCAGGGACAGCAAGCTCACCATGCTGCTTAGTGAATCCCTGGGAAACATCAACTGTCGAACCACCATGATCGCCCACATCTCCGACTCCCCGACGAACTACATGGAAACGCTGACCACGGTGCAGCTGGCCTCCCGCATCCACCGCATGAGGAAAAAGAAGTCAAAGGTACTTCAGGTTTTATGCCGTCAATGATCTCTGCTCCTGGTTGGAATACAGCATTTTTGGTTTTCTGATACTGATCGGCAGTCAGTTAATTCCAGTATGAATGCAGTAGATGAACTTTTCATTTCTGTGCAGATTTTAAAAGTCCAAATACAGTTTCATGATAATCTAGTCCCAACAGTATTTAACTGAATTATTTTTACTTCTGTTACAGTTCCTCTTCGGCTGTAGTGGAGGGAGTTCATTCATGCCATTTCAAGAAATTTCAAAGATTAACAATCACATTTTTCATCCTTACGCCAGCATATTTCCGTTCTCATTATGCAAAAATCTAAGAACACTGTGTAACAAAATGACAAAGACAAAATATATCAACAGATATATAGGTTATAAATCAGAAGAATAAATCCCACATGAACCGTCCCCGACTCAATGCAACATACTTGACTTGTCTCTCAGGGAGCAATTTGAAGCAAGCAAGTTTGCAAACCGTACAGATAGACATTTCATTCACACACATTAAGTAAATCATTTTAAAAATACAAAAGTTGAAATACACAAAGGTTAATGGCAGCGGCCACTGCAAAGCTGGGCATTAATAACAGTCACCACAAAGGTACATTATGTCAAAAGATGCATTTATCTTATTTTATTTCTTAAATTGTGACTGTTTACAAGTCTAATGGCTTCTGGAATTTCAAACCTTTTGACCAAAAAAAATGACATAAAACAACAGCTTGTTTGCTCCTACAACCCACACGAGAAGCTCCGATATTAATAAAAATACATTTAACTGTGTGGAAAGAGAAAATATTTTTATGTGAACGGCACAATATGACTTTACAATGGTTAAAATAACACTGAATTAGATATTTTAATTGTATTTTTAAAAAATGACTCAATGTGGGGTAATGACCTTTTCTTTAATTAAAAACGTAGAAAAAAAGGTTCAGATGTTGACTTACTGATTGCTTGTTTTCGTTTCCAAAGATACTACTCGGTAATGCAAGTGAAAATGGCACCTGTGACTTTAGTATCAAATATTTCTCTCCAAGCTGAGACAGAAAACATTTTACAGTTTGTTTCCGAGGCTTGAAGATTCTTCTGTGGGAGTTACAAAGGCATTGGTTTGAGCTGATCCCCTGAGGCTGGTAACAGTACAATCCCTCCAATCTATAATGTAAATGTGTATGACCAGGTCAGAGAGCCATACTCCATAATTCAGAGAGGTTTTCTACCATCATATGACAGATAATCAATATGACTGTTCCTATGGGGACGCTCGCCTCGTGGTGAGATGAAAAACGCTTCCACTCTCATTAGAGGCTGTGTTGGTAAAATATAGACTGAAAAAAAAACATATGGAAACATGAGTTACAAGCTTATACAGTACATCTCACTGACAATTAATAAATCATTTGAATCCAGGCCTCAGTGTGCACTTCTAACCTCACGCTGTATCTTCAAATGTCACTCTGGAAATGGATTTGCCTTCAGGTTGATGGCTGTATAGTTCAGCTCTCTTTAGTGTGTTAATACGCTGTTTCTCTTTAATCTGCAGTACGCCTCCAGCTCGTCCGGAGGGGACAGTTCCTGTGAGGAAGGCCCGTCCCATCGACCTCCTCATCTTCGACCCTTCCACCCTCGGACCGTGGCTCTCGATCCGGACACGCCTCTGCTGCTCTCCAGTGATCCTGACTACTCCTCCAGCAGTGAACACTCCTGCGACACCGTCATCTACGTCGGTCCTGGAGGGAAGGCCATCTCGGACCGAGAACTGAGCGATAACGAGGGACCACCTTCCTTTGTTCCTATCATCCCCTCCCTCAACAAAAAGCGAGTCAAAGATGCACCCAGGTCTGATGGCGATCACTTTAAGTGTAACACGTTTGCAGAGCTGCAGGAGAGACTCGACTGCATCGATGGCAGCGAGGGCCCCGCCATGTTCAGCACAGAGGAAAAAGCAGCACAAGCAGCAGGGCTCGGGACTCAGACTGGAGCTACAAAACCCACAGAGGCAACGTTTCCCCCCAAATCTGATAAGAACTCTTCCTGCCAGTTCTTAGAAAGCGCACCAACCACATGCACAAATAAACCTGGCGGGGAACAATCCAAATTACCCTCAGCCAGCGGCTTCATGGACACTTCCAAACGGACAAGTGCAGATGGGGAGAAACTTTCAGCCACACCCTTTCAGCCTTGTACGGTAAAACCTGGGACTTTTCCCCAGAACTCAGAGCCTGTGGTGCGAGAGAGGGTCTACCTCAAAGGAGGTGTACCCAAGCCGTCAGCCTCACCGTCCTTACCCAGGACATCCAGAGCAGAGTCTCAGCCTGGGGAGGTTGTTGGTAGGACTCCCCCAGTGGGTATGAGTCAACAAGCACTGAGGCAAGGCCAACCACTGGGGCTCCCTAACACAGAAAGCGCCCCTCATACAGGTAGATACCCCATGGAGGCTAACAATCTGCGGGCAGCTCTGTTAGGAAGGGATTTTCTGAGGACTACCATTACACTGCAACAGCCTGTGGAGCTGAACGGGGAGGATGAGCTTGTGTTCACGGTCGTAGAGGAGCTTCCTCATGGCCTTGTGCCAGACAATGGCCGACCCTCTAACCTCCGCAGCTTCAACAATGACTGCTCTCGGCAGGCCTTAGCCTCTGGTACTCGCCCTGTGAGCATCATCAGCAGCATTAATGACGAGTATGATGCTTACACATCTCAGCATGGAGCTGTGGGATCTGGGGCTGATGTTGGCACTGAATGCCAGGAAATGTTGTTTTCCCAACGTGGCAACAAGCATTCAACTGTTGGCTCATGGCAAAGTGAAGTGACTGCTGATTCGGCTGAAAGTGAAGGCACTCATTCAACAAACAGGCTTCACTTGAGGGACAAAAACATGGCAACAGAAAATCCATCCATGCTGACCTCGCCAAGTATATTTCATAAACAGCCATTTTTGCAGCATGGTATCAAGAGCTCTCTGAATGACAGCGGCGTCTGTTTCTCAGAGCTGGACAGTGACCATGGTACTCCAAACAAACCTTCTTTTACCAAGTGCCCTCCCTCCATTGACTCAACCAAAGCCTCTCTCAAAGGCTCTCTCAAGGTGAGAACCAATACTCTGAACACTTCGGTGCCAGTCCAGATTCCCCATCACACCACCCATTCCAGTCTTCCCAGAAAAACCAAGCCTACCTCATCTGCAGCTGTGGGCTGCAGCAGACAGGAAGGCAGAAATGATGATTATTTGCTTCAGGAAAGCAGTGACTTTGATTCCAGAGAGGTTGAGTTTCTCTCTGTAGGTAAGCCACCAAGAAGTGGCATGAGTAGTGTTTTATCTAAAAGGCCCGGAGGCAACAGTAACAGTGTACCTCGGCCACCAAAAGCACAAATGTCGTCTTCAGCTCAGAGGGTTGTAGACGGCTGTGAGAAGTCCAGCAGCAGGAGAGGAGATACTTTCATCAAACTGCCTCGACTCACCCGAGGTGCAACGACTTTAGGCACTGTTTCTCTTCCCCAGAGCTCTGAATCAAAATGGGGTCATGAGGGTACTTCAGTGACAGGTACCCTGAAGTTTTCATCCTTGGGAAAAAAGTCCATTGGGCAGATAAGTAGTGTGTTCTCCAAGTCTGGATCTGGAAATATCTTTCCTCCTGCTCCACCTGTCAGACAGTCAAGCCAAGAACAAAAGATGAGGACTGTGATATCTCCAAGTGCCTTAAAAACAAGCAGCGACACTGGAAAGTCCCCATTCCCTAAAACACCGACCTCAGAGGAAGAATTCAACATCAGGCTGCGGGCAGATTCATTCAGCCACAGGACATCTAGTTTAAAAACTGAACATTGCTTTGCCAGGACATCTTCAAGCCTGAAGACACGAGGGGTCAAAGCAGAGTCTTCCAGGTACTACGGGAGTCTGATGTCTCTGGAGAGGTGTGACAGTCAGACCTTAGCTGGGTCCAGGCCTGAGCTGTTCAGGGAGAACAGTGGCGCTACTTTGGGAGGTAACAGCAGATCCAACAGATCAGTGCCAAGACTCGGGGTTCCAGCCACCACCTCCACATCCGCTCCTTCTTCCCAAGTTCCTCCTGGTGCTTTTGCAACTGCAAGTAAACTTGGACAGGTCAAAGGCAACAGCAGCTCACGAACAGCAGTTTCTGGTGGATCAAAGGTACGAACTCTGTCTACCAGCAGTTCCAAGAGCCTGACCTCCGCCCCTAAACCTCTTGATAATGTAGCTGGACGCAACACTAGCCTACCTCCAACTGGTAAGTCCCCAGCTCGTTCAGTGACAGGAGCTAAGACAGGAAGAGGAACCATCATGGGCACAAAGCAGGCCATCAGCAGAGCGGCTAACAGTCGGGTTAGTGAGCTAGCCACCGGGAGCCAAAGGAAGCAGCTCAGCAGGGGGCCTGGGGTAACAGGGAATGATGGCAATGACAGCAGGACTAGTAGTGTCAGTGGATCGCCAATCAACACGCCACTACCATCACCTTACAGCAAGATCACCGCGCCTCGGAGGCCACAGCGCTACAGTAGTGGGCACGGCAGCGACAACAGCAGCATCCTCAGCGGGGAGTTGCCCCCCGCCATGGGCCGCACCGCCCTGTTTTACCACAGCGGGGGGAGCAGCGGCTATGAGAGTATGATCCGAGACAGCGAGACCACTGGCAGCACCTCTTCAGCACACGACTCCATGAGCGAGAGTGGAGTGTCCTCGTCCAATAGAGGCAGGGTTTCTAAATCGCCCAAGAAGAGAGGAAATGGTGAGTCCACTTTGCAAAGAAAGAGAAAGATGCAAAAGATTCCATAATAATTAGCCATGTTCATTGATGTGGGGACATTAACAACCAACATCTGTCGTTTGTCCTGACAGTGGTGTTATAGAACAAAGGGGGGTCATTAAATCTAGGATGGTTCAGTCTCTAGGTAGCAGGGATGTGATCAGGACATTTCATGACAATCTGATCTAAATAGACTTTAGTATACTTTCTGTTCATATGCATATTTTAGCTTGCTAGTGTTAAGGTCCATGAATCAGGATCCATCCTTCAAGAACCATAAATATCCACAAATCTGCGCATTTCACATATCTGCTCTCACCCAGACCGATTAACTGACCTCAATATATGCTGCTGATACTGAGTCATAGTAAATATGGTTAGTATTTGGTAATTAGGTAATAGTACCTGGTGTTCTCATAGTGGCCAGTTAAGACACATACATTGACTGCATTGGTTGCTATTTGCATCATTTGTTTCATCTGTTTGTTTTGTTTTATAGATTATAGCTTGTATTTTGGTGGGCATACTAGGGGTGGGAGTCTCTGGGCATCTCATGATTTGATTCGATTACAATTCAGTGGGCTGCGATTCCATTATAAAACGATTATCGATGCATTTTGATGCATAATTTTTTTCTATACAGGATCTCTGGATAATTACTAAGCATTTAATTTGCAGATTAAAATCCAAAAGAAACATTAAACTAATTAGCTTAAATGGACTAGTTTGCATCCCTAATTTACTTTATTAAGCTCAGCTCAATGGTCTCTCATTTCTTTAACAACCAGTTGTCAGACTCCTCTGAACACAGAAAAATAAGTAGTATGTGTACAGGACAGAGCTGAACCCCAGATCAGCTTGTACTTGATGTTCTCAACACTTGCCTAGTAGGTTAGTTAGTAATGACATGCAGCTGATAATTAATATTACTGCGTTACTAATTTAGCTAACGTTACATAAATAAATAAATATTTTCAGCACCTTTCACGGGACCCAAGGACACTTTACACATAGTTACAGTGACAGAACAACAAAAAGTCATTCAGGATTGAATGCCTGGATAAAGAGCTGGGTTTTAGTAGATTTGTGAAAGTGTCCATACAGGGAGCATTTCAGATCTCTGTGGGGATGAGTTCAGGAGGGTGGAGGCTGTGACGCTGAAGGCTCTGTCCCCAAAAGTCTGCAGTCTGGTGTGGGGGCAGAGAGCAGGCCCTTCTACAGGGGAGATGTTAGCTCGCGCTAACAGCCTTCACTTTTCCAGCAGTTGGGGAAACTACAGACTTTTATTAACGGACACACAGTGACCTACGCTGCACGTTTGCTACCAGACTGAAACTTCCTGCTAGTATTTCCCTGTGCTAACTTTCAGCATCACGTTCTACCGATCACACACAGAGAGCTGCTGAGCGTTGAGTGTCACCATGCTCGCAGTGTGCGGGTTAAAATCATCACTTGTGCATTGATATAAATGATTGTGTGACATTTAAGTAGAGAGGTTACTCATTCCACAGCGGTGGTGGGCCGAATACAGCGGGAACACTGCTGGTCTCTCTGGTATGTGCGCCAGTTGTTATCAATTAACATTTAAATAATCGACATTTGTTAATCGATTCATAATCTTCCACGTCCATCTAAAAATCGATTATTTCTGCCACCCCTAGGGCATACATTGTGAATGAACAAAAAGCAGCAGCTCATGCAGAGGACTGTAAAAGTGAAGATATATAGATATATGGGCTATCTTAATATATATTCAGGAAGTGAAAGAGCTTTAAGACTCGCCTCTTCTGGAAGCTTTATAAAGACATTAACATATTGATGACTTATTCTAAAAGGTGCTCCCATCCATCAGAACGTGCGCGGCTCTTCAACACAATATTTTCATGAATGCTGAGCACACTGAAGATTACAGGTATTACAGGAGCATCTATCAGAGGCTGCTCTCCTCCCTGATATTCCACCGCATGAATTTATCTCTCGGCCCGGCGTTATCGTGAAATCTACATCCATGCACATTATGTGGGACGATATCGTAGAGTATTGTGCCTCTGAGCTCTTACCTTACTGCGGCTGATTGTGATTCATGCGGCTTGTTGGCAGCAGGTCAGGCAGCCTGATGCATACAGAATCAGCACTCGTGTGATCTGCCTGCCATCAGTCTGTGGATCTTGGCTCGTTTCTGCCTCATGAATATTACATGACGCCGCGGCAATTCCCGGTGTACATATCCAACTCCAATTATCACCCCCCCATCCACTACATACCACTCAAAGCATCCACACCCACACACCCTCCTCCTCAATATGTCACCGTTTCAGTCCTCGCTCACAGATACAGAGTGTTTCTAATAATCACTAATGGCTGTTTGTTTGTGCTTTTGTTTTTACTCTTTGCAGTTATGATAATCACAGAATCAGCCGCTATCTGACAGCCATGTGTACAAAGTCATTAAGAAGAAGATTGAGGTCTTTAGGTTGACGGCGGTGGCTTTAAACCTTATCAGCAGCGCAAATGGATGTTGACACAGAGGGGAGATATTGGTAAACCGGCCCAGACGATGAGGATAATTAAATCTAATGAGCTGTGTAGCTGCCTGTCACCTGCTGATATCAGGAACTAAATATAGTTATATAGTAGAATTATTTCAGAGACCCGATCGCCTTTGGACAAAACAAATCACTTCATGGATTCACTTTATTTATTCATTTTATTAATTTCCTTCCGTCAGGTTTCCAGCGGCGCCGTCTGATCCCGGCTCCCCTCCCGGACACCTCCTCTCTGGGCAGGAAGGCGGGGGGTCAGTGGGTGGACCTGCCACCGCTGGGCGAGCCCTTTGAGATAAAGGTGTACGAGATCGACGACGTGGAGCGCCTGCAGGGGAGGAGGGAGGTGGTGACCGGGTCAGAGGTGAGGGCGACTCCGTCTGCTCAGCTCGCCGTGCATGAATAATGTTGAATAATGTTGAATAACGTCTGCTGATCATGAATCATCACGCAAGAACCAATCAGACCAACAGATTTGATCTTAAGTCACACGTACGACATTCAGAAGGGATCCAGATCTGTTGTATCCAGAATTTTAGTTTGCTGAGGACACAGAGATCAACCAAAATAAAATATGTACCTAAAATCCAAATGAATCTGGTCACGAGATCGTCGTCATCCTGGCTGTGGTGTTTTAGATTCCTCACAGCAGCTCCTACACTTCAGTAGTAGCTGGAATATTATTTCTGCAGGTCCAGTTTCATCCTCGTCCCTCGCCTGCTGCAGGCTATAATATTCTCTTGTCTAATACCTCTGTGACTGTCACATGACCTCCTCTCATTAGTTAGTCATGCACCGCTTTGTTTTAGAAAGCTGTTTTTGGCTCTAACTTCATGTCAGATGATGTTCTCTTTCTGTCTGTCACGGTACAGCTCTGCTCTGAGGACACGTCGCCGGCAGCTGCAGTAATATTTATACCAAAAAACCTTTAACTGGGGAAAAAGGGCGAGCAGCAGAGGAGGGATCCCTCTTCAGGACAGGGAGACAGGAAATAGATGTCGTGTATGAACAGTTTGACATAGTAAAATGAGAGTTTGGACAATCAGGATGATCAAATGTAGCTAGTAAACGTGGAGAATGTTTCTCCTCATCAGTCCAGCCTGAGGGCAGACTTATCGCTGACTGAGGTTATCTCTGAGTCAATTACAGTTTAGCCTTAATTGGCTCAGATATGAGTGATGGCTGGAGGAGGAGGAGGAGGAGGAGGAGGTGCAGGTTCGGCCTCGGCTGGCTGGTCTTTACGGCCGTCGCCTCTCTGTGTTAACGGGTCATTAACCTTCAGTGAACAGTGTGTGGAGGGAAGGAAAGACATTAATACAGCTGATTTATTTTCACTTAGAGAAAGATGATCTGCATGTCATCACTCAGAGTCAGCGTGTGATCTCCTCTCTGTGTTTCTCTCTTCTCTCTGCAGCCGTTCCACGATGTCGAAAAGGTGAGTTATACTTTCAGGACGGGATCGTTCGCAGTCAGCAGAAGCATGTGCAGCCTTGATAAGCTACATAAATAAAAGGAGATGTTGGCCTCACGCATCCCTGTATCATTATGTTTTAAACTCAAACAGAAAAAACAATAAATGCTGTAATGAATAAAACTGCAGGGGTAAAACAAGAAGACAGCAGCAGGAAACTCTGTGACCACTCCAGCGTCAGAGCGTCACTCTCCCCTTATTTTTCTTACAACAGCTGTAATTGAAGCTGAGAGGCGACACTGATCCACCTGCTCGTCCTCAGCTGTCCTTAATCCTCCGCCCTGCAGATTAAGTCCACAGCCAGCAGATTAGCGCCCATGCTAATTTTATCTCCGGCTGGCTCCTAATTAAATCCAGCAGTGGACACAGATTGAAGTCTCAGAGCAGGTTAGCTGCCCCTCGTTCCACTTGTGGTAATCCCCCTGATATAAACCGGCCCCACGCTCTGCGGAGTCCGTCCTCCCGTCACAGAGACTCTGCCGGACTGACTCTGGGTTTGTCTGGTCCTCAGGGTCTGCTCTACTTTAACGCCCGGCTGAGGATGCTGGAGAGGCGGCAGCAGCAGATCAGGGAGCTGAAGAGCAAACACGAGAGGCTGAAGGTGGAGCTGGAGGAGGCCAAGAGCCGGCTGATGCTCGACCCGGGCAAATGGAGCGGAGAGTGTGAGTACGGTCCTGCTATTTAACAGAAAAGACTGAGTGAGGAGGTGGATGGAGGGCCAGAACCCCGACTTTGAACCAGGAGACCGAGGTCTGTGTCCTGTGTGAAACAAAAAATCAGCATTAAATGTTTTTATATATGTTCTGATTGACACGTAACGTAGTTATTTTAACCCAAACCATGACCTAAATTGCAGCATTTCACAACTTTAATAAAGTGCCGTTTCAAAATAGCGGTTTTGAAATGTGAGCGTTTTATTTTGAAAGTAACTAGACGTTGCATATTTGTTGTTGCTAAGCGTTGCTAACTTGACCGCAGAGCCCTAAAAATGATGCTAAAGGGCCTTGGCCAAGCGTCCATATGTGACGTGAGAACGTGTTGTTTGGCGGATGGAAACGTCATCACAGGTCAATAAGAGATTTTCACGGCACTTCGGTTCAGTTACCCCAAATGACGAGTTTTAGATCCTGTGAATAAACCGTGCTGTGTGTTGATCCAATGACTTGAGCTGACATGTCTGATATTTACTGATATGTACTCCACATTCTGGAAGATCTCTGAATGCGTTGAACTCGCTGTGAAAGGGTCTCGGCAAGAGCAGCGTAGTGGCGACACGCAGGGCGCGCTGCAGATTAACTTTACAGAATTATAAATCAGATGTGTGAAGCTGATCGGCCCCGGTCACGGCTGATTAAGCTGAAAACCGGCCGTTTCCAGATCTCTAGTTTTAAACGCTGCCTCACATCACAGAGCTCTCACTGATGACGTTACATTCAGCTAGAATTCATGTCCAGCTCCCAAAATGTTTTGAACAGTCGGATTTCAATCTGTCTTCAGTGTTTCTTGGTTACATTTACACGTTTTTGACATCAGATCAGAGTCCCGTGTCTGACTTTAGCTCTCTTCTTTAAACACTGAGAGCTGCTCCACGTCTCTGCAGTGTCTCAGACTCCTGAGCAGATCCTGCAGCTCCCTCCTCCCTCTTTCATCTCGCAGCACAAAAGGCAAACGAGTGCATTTCAAGCTCCTGACCCCGAACAACAAAGTGGACAAACAGAGAGAGAGTTTCTAGCTGAGTGCTGCCGGCAGCCCGGAGCCTCTGCAGCTCAGCTCGCCCCATTATGCTTCTATTTCTGGATCCTGTGAATAAAGAGCTCGCGGTGCTCCGGAGACGAGAGCCGCGGTGTTTGGAGAGGAGAGTGTTGGAGCAAACAGGCCAGAGGGAGAGGATTATATTTACATCTTTTCTTATTCCTCATTCAGCGGGACAAACTCTCAGGTCACCTCAGAGAAAAGCCTCCGATTCTTTTCACAAAAACAGTGAACTCTGCAAAAACCAGGAGAAAGAGCTCCGAGGCCTGAAGGAGTCCGGAGATCAATACGACATTATTCTCTTAGTGGCTGCAGGGGGAGAGGCTCATTAATCACCGGCTGCTTCCCCTCATGTGACGCGAAGATACAGAGTCCTGGTTAGCCTTCATCAGTGTATCCCAGCATGCCCTGCAGCATCAGAGGCTGTTAGTTCACCATCAGTCATTATGTCAGTCAGAACGCTGTCAACACACACTTGTTTCCTTCCATTACGTTGACTTACAGTAATTCCCTGGAGAAAGACTCAAACCTCAAACCAGTTTTTGCAGCAGTCCGCATCAAAAACTGCACTTCTTAATAAACATTCAAATAAATCAGGGAGTAGAGGAGCCGGTCCTCACAAGAAAAATGACACTGTAGGTTGTTTGTGCAGCACATTATTACGACCTGGATTAACGTTTATTGTGGCAGCGACCTCTAGAGGCCATTTAATGGTAGCAAAGGAGGAAGTCAGGTGACATTTACATTTATTCATTTAGCTGACGCTTTTATCCAAAGCGACTTACAGCTGCTGTACATGTCAGAGGTCGCACGCCTCTGGAGCAACGAGGGGTTAAGTGTCTTGCTCAGGGACACAATGGTGGATGTCTCACAGTGGGAGACCGAACCCGGGTCAAGCTGATTGACAAGTGACTACCATGGCGACCTGTCAATCAGGATAGAGGCGACTCGTATCCGCTGCTCTGTGACCTCTTTAACCAGCGTGGTTGAAAAAACTCATCAGGAGTCGGCTGCTCATTTTTTTTCTGTGAGAACATTTAGTTTGAAGACAAAGTTATCAGCCCTGTGAAAAAGTTAACGTGAAATACAGATGCACCTAGCTAAGCTAGCTAGTTAGCTCCGCACACAACCGTCTCGTCCAAATATGGTCACTTCCTGTGCCGCTGGTTGCAAAAACATGGCGGCGTCCTATTGGCCAGACTCGAGGCTTTAAAACGGCGGTCCACAAACCAACAGGTGACTTCATGATGACTGTGTCTACTTCTTATATCTTATATAAACCCCAGACTCAGGAGAACAATGTTTGAGGTCCCATGTTGAACCAAATAACATAAATAGTGTTACTGTTTTCCATAATGCACCCAAACTAGAACGTTCTCCTAAACCTAACCAAACTGCGACCATTTCACAACATTAACCACGTGTTTTGAGTCTTACTTCATATCGGGACAAACGACCTATGCTGTCCTGGCAGAACCTCTTGAGGATCTTCCTGTTTTTAAGTTTCCTTCAGTACCACAGTGATCCAGTGAGAGCTGTCTGTACATTAATGCTAACTGCTAACAGCTGATTCAGCTGCTGTTACTGGGGACAGTTTGACTAAATGTAAAACACACACAGGCTAAAACAAACAGGAAGTTCACAGCTAACTTCCTGAAGTCAGACAAGGAGTAACAGCAGGAGGGACAAAAGCCATACAGAAATGTACTGAGACATAAAAACTGTTCCTAAAACCTGCTGGTTTGGAGCTGGATCCACTTTGTGAAATGTTCTGAACACTAACCTGTCTCTTCCTGTCTGTGTCCCCCCTCCAGTCGACGTGGACCAGGACCTGGACCGGGAGTCCCAGGAGTACCTGGAGGCTCTGGCTCAGGCCACGGCGGACCTGGAGTACTGCGTCAACCTCTGCAAGTCCCGCGTCATGATGGAGACGTGCTTCGACATCGCAGCGATGACGGCCGCCGCCACCGTGCAGGGAGGACAGCAGGAAGTGGAGGTGTGAGAGGAGGGACCAGCATGGATGGATTAGAGGACCCGGATACTGAACCACCACTGGCAATCTGGACACTGTGGGTACTCCTGAGGCCCAAAAGAGACGTCAGTAAAGCTGCTTCAGACGGGTTCATTATTATTTAGCCGAGCTAGCAGCACTGCTGCAGGGACGCCAGCAGGTCGGTCCTGACTGAAATATCTCAACTATTGCATACCTGTCAAAATCATTTTCCCCAAAGTTTAAAATTCTGAGAGAATTATGGGATAATATTTAAACTGGAAATAATGAGAGAATCCCAGGAAAAATGAGAAGGATGACAGGTACGCTTTTTGATGGATTGTCAGGACGTTTGCCAAAAGAGAAAGACTGAAGTCTCGGCAGGGGGGCGCTGGAGAGCTGAAGGGAGGCAAAGGTCCTGTAGGAGGTGGACCTGAGTCAGAAACCTCTCTCCTACTGCTCAGAGTCCTAACTCCGTCACATCTGAACTCACAGATGTGAAACACATGTTGAATCATCCCGAGGATCTCACCATCTCTGAAGTCCGTCCAGAACAAAGGTCCAGAAATCAGCTGCAGAACCTCCTGAGGAACTTCATGTTTTTAAGTTTAGTATCACAGTGATCCAGTGAGAGCTTTCTGTGCACCATGCTAACTGCTAGAAAGAGCTGCTGACAGCTAATTTAGCTACTGTTAACAGGGACAGTTTGACTAAATCTAAGAAATACAGGCTCTAAAGAGATTAGCGGTACCCACCTGTAGCTGTCCTGACCAGAGCGGGTTTCCTGTGGTTAATGTCTGTGAAACGCCTCCAGAGCTTAGTGAAGTGATTGCTATGTGTGTGCAACAGGTTCTCACCTCAGTGCGTCATTACCGACGCTTTCAGACAGCGTGACAAAGCGTAATTATTTGACGCTAAAGGAACCCTTCAGCTTGCGTACGAAACGCCACCATTTGCTACGTCGCAGCAACACAAAGGAGGCTAACCATTAGCCGGTCGACATACATAAAGTCAGTGACTCAGGTTATCGGCACTAACATCTCTGATGGCTGTGGTAAGGGTTAAACACCTTTAACACGAACGTAGCTAGCTAGCTAGCACTTCCGGTCTGTACGAGACGGCATCTCGTACAAATAACTACGCTTTGTCACTTTTGCTGAGAGCGTTGGTATTGGACGCCCTGAGATGAGAACGGTCTGGTGTGTGACGTCATCCTGTTTGCAGTGTTCATTGAAATGATCGGGCGCCATCTTTAAGTGCGGTATCCAGTTCTTATGATCCATTCGTGGCGACCAATGAGAGGCGAGAAAGAGGAGAGAGAGTTTCTGACACCGGGGAAGGTCTGGATTTATCATCCTGAGGGGAAAAATTCATCAAGACGTCACAGAAAAGACGACATCGTTCATACAAAGTAAAACCTCTGGAAACAATGACGGCAGAGGAACAGACTGCAGATCAGATTAGAGAAGATAAACAGATCTCAGTAAGGATGAAAGCTCTGGAAGTGCCTTTGTATTTATTATCTAATTTAACACATTGATTTTTCATTATTTATCTCGTCTGTGTTCATGGTGCTGATCTTTAAATCAAACTTCTAATATATTCATTATGCAAAAAAGTGATCTGATTTTGGAGTAGAAAGTGTTTATATGATAAAAAGAAACTTCAGGTTTCAGAAAGAAATGGAAAAGAGGAGATATTATCTCAAACCTCAGCCTCTGCCTTCATCCTCCTGCAGTGTTTTCTGCCTTTGACACTGACTCAGAGTTTGTCGTCGTGTTTCTGCTGGTTTGATGTTCGTCTCCAGGAAGACAACAACTCCGACAAAATCTGAACACGCGGAACACAGATTTTTGATTTGCACGTCCCGAGGAGATCATTATCTCTGACGTCCGTCGCTGAGAAACATCGATAAAAATAGAAGCTGAAGAAGTTCCTGAGAACCTTCTGTTTTTCAGTTTCCTTCAGTATCATAGAGCTGTGAGTGAGAGCTGCCTGTACATTGGTCACCTGACGAGTTAAAGATCGTCCGAATATCATCTGTTTAAATATTTCCAAATCTGAACAACTCTTAAATCGACTTACTTACTTTCCAGTTTTAATAAAAATGCATAAATGCAAAAGTCTTGAATTCAAAAACAAACAGAAGTGAAACCTGAAGTCAGAGCGTGGCGTGTTTCTCCTTCTCCTTTGGAAAGTCCCTCCTCGTCCGTCTACTTTAACACATTCTCAGGCTCTTTTTAAAGTTTGCTGCATGAAAACGTTTCTTCTTCTCCTGTTTTAAATGTGTGACCTTCTGCATCCGGTCTGTGTTTCTGAGGTTGTGTTCGTTACAGAAGAAGAGAAAAGTTTTGCCAAACACATGTTTTTACCGTGACGTTGCTCTACCTTTATTGATCTACGCAGACTTTTTTATTTGTTTTGGTACTGTACAGTTTTATAATTATTTGTAAAGAGAAGAGTGGAAATGTACAGGATGAGCGTGTCGGCCCGGGTCATACGTGTTCATAAAGAGAAGTCTGGTCAAATCACTCCGAGTGCTCTTTATTGTTGTTGAATGATTCATCTGTCTGACCTGTAAAAGGAGATGCTGTCTGAAGCAGCTTTATGGTCTAACTTTAAATAACTGTCAACACAACAGCTGAAATAAACTAGGTGCAGGCAGCGTGCCGACGTTTCCAAAAGGCCAGTCTAACTTTATTGGCTGCTGTGAACATACGGCCATCTTTCATGCTGCTGTCTGAAGGAACAACTTTTTCATTCTAACTCAAACACATATGGACGCTTGGTCAAGACCCTTGGCGACATTTTTTAACACACTGGGTTCCCTTTAGCGTTGTTTATGGACATGTATTCAAGTTATCACAATAAATATGCAACGTCCAGTCACACTTTCAAAATTAAAGTACTCGTTAACATTGTGAAACTTTGGAACTTTTGGAACAGGACGTTGTTAACATTGTTAGGGAAAGATGATGTTTTGGGTTAAAATAACTACGTTACATACGTTAGTTAACTTAAGTAAGTCATGTTACCCTAATAACCTACGTAACGTAAATAAAAACATTTAATGTTGCAATTTAGTTTCACACGGGAAACTCAGACTTTTCTGGTAAATATCCGGCACCTATCTGCACAGCCCGTTTCTCATTCCCAGGTTGCCAAGTAGCTTCGCTCTGTCCCGTCCTTCAGTGTCTGGTACCGACGCACTGGGCAAAGCCCAGAAAGGTCAGAATAAGGAGGCGGGTGGGACAAAATCCAGACTTTCACCGAGGATACCGTGTTCATTTCCTGTTTGAAACAAAATCGCAACATCGTTAGCTTTTAGTGATGTTACATAACTTACGTAATTGAAGTCATTGTTTATTTTTACCCAAACTATTATCTTTTCCTAAACTTAACTAAACAATGTTTCACAATGTTAAAAGTAGTTTTATTTTAAAAGTGTATTTATTCATGCTAACTTGACCGTGGAGCCCCACACGTGCAGAAACGATACTAAACCAGGGCGTTAAAAAGCCACGCCCAGCGTCCAAGTGTGATGCCCTGGGATGAGGTTGAAAAAACAAAAATCAGTTGGAAGTCACAATGTGTCAAAAAAAAGATCTTCATCTGGATCAGGTGAACAAAGTGAACCCGCCTGAGAGAACGCGGTGACCCTCTGGATGGTCGGTGCATCGTGGCGTGAGGGACCATCCCTGCGTCCTGACGTCTCTTTAGTCCTGCCGGTACTGCTGACATTTCCCTTCCCTCTCATCTGACTTCAGAGCTCGGCGGCGGCAGAGACGGCCGCCTGTCAGCCGATAATCTGGTATCTCAGAGTGGAAATGTCAGACGAGTGGGCGCTGTTTCATCCACAGGAAGACGTTTCACCCTGAAACCCAGCGTCAGTGACTGACAGCTCGGCGTTACATCAGATACAGCCTTCAAAGACCAGACGCTTCATGGCAGCGTTTCCCAGATCAGCCGTTAGCTTACAGACAGACTGAGGAACACGTACATAGAAACTTTGTACTTTAACATTCATTTATACTCTTTTTAAATCAGATTAAAGTACAAGGTACTACTTACTACAAGGAAAGCTCAGATGCCGCTCTGTGAATCCTTTAGTGCAGGGACGACGAGCAAAGACGCTCAACATGTATTTTAGAATAAGAAACCAAATACTCTCATTTTAAAAGAATTTTTCAATTCAATTCAATTTTATTTATATAGCGCCAAATCACAACAACAGTTATCTCACAGCGCTTTTCATAAAAGAGCAGGTCTAGACCGTACTCTGTGATGTTATTTACAGAAGCCCAACAGTTCCCACCAAGAGCAGCACTAGGCGACAGAGGCAAGGAAAAACTTCCTTTTAAGAGGCAGAAACCTCGAGCAGAACCATGGCTCAGGGTGGGCGACCATCTGCCTCGACCGGTTGGGGTGAGAGAGAGAGAGAGAGAGAGAGAGAGAGAGAGAGAGATGTAAGGAGAGAGAGATGTAAGGAGAGAGAGAGAGGGGAGGGAGGCAGCCTACACAATATACACACAGAGGTACACACAGTGAAGGTAATGCTGCTATAGACCAAATGAAAAATGGTACAGATATTTATAATAGTGTTAATGGTAACCATCGTAATGTTAATGATTATAATAACAATAATAACAATAAGACTAGCAACAATAGTCGTTGTAGCAGAGGGTGTCGAGCAGGAACACGGGGGCAGCAGGTGACCCGCAACCACAGATCCAGACTCCACAGCTCCAGAGCCAGAAAACCTGCAGGAAGTGATAGGAGAGAGGAGAGAGACGAGAAAGCACAAGACTACCAGAAAGGGGAGAAGTTGTGTTAGTAACATGCAATAATGGGATAAGGTTGCATACAGAGGGAGAGAAAGTAGAGGAGAGAGGAGCTCAGTGCATCATGGGAAATCCCCCGGCAGTCTAGGCCTATAGCAGCATAACTAAGGGATGGTTCAGGACTCACCTGAGCCAGCCCTCACTATAAGCTTTATGAAAGAGGACAGTCTTAAGCCTACTCTTAAATGTGGAGATGGTGTCTGCCTCCTGAACCCAAACTGGAACCTGGTTCCACAGGAGAGGAGCTTGATAGCTGAACGCTCTGGCTCCTAGTCTACTTTTGGAGACTCTAGGAACCACAAGTAACCCTGCATTCTGGGAGCGCAGTGCTCTGGTGGGGTAGTAAGGTACTATGAGCTCTTTAAGATAAGATGGTGCCTGACCATTAAGAGCTTTGTAGGTAAGAAGAATGATTTTAAATTCTATTCTGGATTTTACTGGAAGCCAATGCAAAGAAGCTAAAACAGGAGAAATGTGATCTCTTTTCCTGGTTCCTGTCAGAACACGTGCTGCAGCATTCTGGATCAGCTGAAGAGTCTTAATGGACTTTTTCGAGCAGCCTGATAATAAGGAACTGCAGTAATCCAGCCTAGAAGTAACAAATGCATGGACTAGTTTTTCTGCATCATTTTTAGACAGGATGTTCCTGATTTTCGCAATATTACGTAGGTGAAAAAAGGCGGTCCTTGAAATTTGCTTAATGTGAGACTTAAACGACATGTCCTGATCAAAGATAACTCCAAGATTCCTCACAGTGGTGCTGGAGGCCAAGGTGATGCCATCCAGGGAAACTATATCTTTAGATAATGCGTCACGGAGGTGCTTAGGCCCCAGAGCAATAACTTCAGTTTTATCTGAGTTTAACATGAGAAAATTACAGGTCATCCAGGTTTTAACATCCTGAAGGCACATTTGAAGTTTAGCTAACTGATGAGTTTCATCTGGCTTGATCGATAGATATAACTGAGTATCATCTGCATAACAATGAAAGCTTATGGAATGTTTCCTGATAATATTGCCTAAAGGAAGCATATATAAAGTGAAGAGGATTGGTCCAAGGACAGATCCTTGAGGAACTCCATGAGTAACTTTGGCGTGCATGGAGGACTCATTGTTAACATGACTGAAATCGATCTGATAAATAGGACTTAAACCAGCTTAGAGCGGTTCCTTTAATGCCAATGAAATGTTCCAGTCTCTGCAATAGGATCTGATGGTCAATGGTATCAAATGCAGCACTAAGATCTAATAAAACCAGTACAGAGACAAGTCCTTTGTCTGATGCAATAAGGAGGTCATTAGTAATTTTCACCAGTGCTGTCTCTGTGCTATGATGAGCTCTAAATCCTGACTGAAAATCCTCAAATAAACTATTGCTCTGTAGAAAGTCACACAGCTGTTTAGCAACTGCTTTCTCCAGAACCTTAGAGAGAAATGGAAGGTTAGATATAGGTCTATAGTTGGCTAAAACATCCGGATCAAGTTTGGGCTTTTTCAGAAGAGGTTTAATTACAGCTACTTTAAAGTACTGTGGTACATAGCCTGTTGATAAAGATAGATTGATCATATCTAGTATAGAGGTGCTGACTAAGGGTAAAACATCTTTAAGCAGCCTAGTCGGGATGGGGTCTAAGAGGCAGGTTGATGGTTTAGATGAAGAAATTATTGAAGTTAGTTGGTAAAGATTGAGGGAAGCAAAACAGTCTAAACATGTATCTGGTTCTACAGCTGTTTCAAAGGTTCCTGAGTTAAGAGATAAGTCGGTGCCAATTGAGGGCAGGTCTTGATGAATTTTGTCTCTAATAGCTAGAATTTTATCATTAAAGAAGCTCATGAAGTCGTAACTACTGAGAGCTATGGGAATACTTGGCTCAATAGAGCTGTGACTCTCTGTCAGCCTGGCTACAGTGCTGAAAAGAAACCTGGGGTTGTTCCTATTTTCCTCTATTAATGACGAGTAGTACGCTGCTCTGGCATTACGGAGGGCCTTCCTATAAGTTTTAAGACTATCTTGCCAAATTAAACGAGAATTTTCCACTTTGGTGGAACGCCAATTCCTCTCAAGTTTCCGCGATATTTGCTTTAATTTGCGAGTTTCAGTATTATACCATGGAGCTAAACGTCTTTGTTTTAGTATTTTCTTTTTTAGAGGGGCTACAGAGTCGAGTGTCATTCGCAGCGAGCCTGCAGCACTATCAACAAGATGATCGATTTGGGAGGGACTGAAATTAGCATAGGAGTCCTCCGTTACTTTGTGACTAGATAATGTATTTAGAGCTGATGGAATCGCATCCTTAAATTTAGCTATAGCACTATCAGACAGACATCTTGTATAGAAATTTTTGCCCAATGGCGAGTAGTTCAGCAATACAAACTCAAAAGTTATCAAACAGTGGTCAGATAAAGAGGGATTCTGTGGGAACACCACTAAATGTTCAATTTCAATACCATACACCAAAACAAGGTCGAGGGTGTGGTTAAAACAGTGAGTCGGTTCATGAACACTCTGAGAGAAGCCAATGGAATCTAACAGAGAGATAAACGCAGTACTAAAGCTGTCATTCTCAACGTCCACATGAATATTAAAGTCCCCTACAATAATAACTTTGTCCGTTTTAAGGACTAAAGTTGACAAAAACTCTGCAAATTCAGATAAGAATTCAGAGTACGGGCCAGGTG